CTATAGAAGAGATCCATGTCCAGATAGACCTGGAATTTAGCTGATTGAAGTTGATGGAGTTTTGGTTGAAATAAATGCGTTTAAAATTAATAGGCTGGTTGGGGTGGCCAGCTCGCTTGGGTGGCCAGCTCGCTTGGGAATTACGTTAGGGCAAAAGGCCCTACTAAAGCTTTTTTTAAAGAGTCGCAATGAGGGACACTTGTCACGATAGACTGGGACGATCAACCTCTGCCGCTACCTCGAAGTCTTGCCCTTATGTACTGCTCGAGGACGGATCATAGAGATAGCGCCATATGAGTCAATCTATTTACAAGGACTTGAGAGACCCAGTCAAAATCTCCAATTTTTAGACCAGGTAAATAGATCACATTGTAGCAATACAGCCTAGGTCAACGATGGATATCTAGCCACACCTTGACCGAGAACAAGGTAAATTAGGCATTGGCTATCATCACCCCAGGAGCCCAAAAACAGATATTCCAATGTCATCGGTTCTGGTACGTTATAGAATTGTAGTGAATAGCTGATCATGCTTGTGATAAAACTTATTGCTTGTTCAAAATCAGAGGCATCTTTCATTTTCCTTCAGAGATCCAATTTTCTTGAGTTTCGACTCCGACAGCGAAGCGCCCAGGGACTCCGAACTAGCCAATGGCCGTGCTTGCTGAGCCAACGGACCTGCAGACCTCCTACATACATGCAAGATTTGGAAGATCGAGCTCTAACTTCATGCAGTCACAGCTACGCGCCAGGAGCGGAACTAAGCATGTCTCGAAATATTCCGTGCCCTTTAAACATATTCCGAGAACTGAGCTCTCTCATCCTATCATTCCCTGCTTTGTCCAGAAGCTAGGGGATGGGCTTGTACCTCAGTCTATTAACTGTTTTGGTTGTAACAATGACGGTTTGGTATCAGGTTTGGAGCTTCTCCAATCGCAACGTCTCGAGGTCAGACAATGGTTTCGTTATGGGTAACAGATTTCCTTGAACTCCTTTCATTTCTTGTCCTTGTTTGTGTCGTGGCCTGGGCGCGTTTTGGTGAAAGACCAACAATTGACCCATTTTCTATTCACACCTATTGTCCCAGGTCAATCATCCCAAGGATCTTATTCTTCTGAACAAGGCCCATTGTTGCAGCCTTCGATCTGGCCGCTTTCTGTGCACTCAATAAATAAGGCACCTCCCGCTTGAGCAACCTTGCCTCTGTGTCATATCTGTATTCAAAGAAAACATACTGCAATCACTACTCGACTCGAGTTGACGCCGCCGGCTGCCGTCCTCTTCAAGTCTACAAAACTTCAATTTTACAACCTTTTACCTCGAGCCCTACACATCCAAAACCACTACCATGATGTTGATCAATGCATTCACAGTACTCCTTGCTCTGTACACCCAAACACAGGCTCATTCTTGGGTGGAAGAGCTCACCCTCATCGCTCCAAACGGAACCTTCGTCGGCACTCCAGGATATGCGCGGGGGAACTATATGCGTACGACACTGGGCTTTAGCGACCCTACCATGACCTACTTGATTCCGCCCAACACAAGGGCAAATGTAACTCAGATTCTGCCAATCGACAAAATGTGCAAAGACACCCAGCAGGATCAGACTCAGTCAGAGGGAAGCCCTCGGCTTGAAGCCAACGCTGGTGCGGCAATTGCCCTTCGCTATCAGGAGAACGGCCATGTGACGCTTCCCCAGAATCAGCCCGGAAAGCCCACGAACCGGGGATCTGTTTTTGTATATGGCACCACGCAACCCAAGACCGGCGAGAAGTTCCTTGATGTTCACGGAGCCTGGACTCAAGACGGCACTGGAGGCGATGGGCGAGGTGTGCTCTTGGCAGTGCAGAACTATGACGATGGCCGTTGCTACCAGATCAATTCGGGGGAAATCTCAGAGACTCGACAAGCGAAGTACACTCACACAGCAGACCCGCGTATGGGAGCGGACCTCTGGTGTCAGCAGGATATTCAATTGCCCTTGAATGCTCCCAGTGGGAAGCCATACACACTTTATTGGGTGTGGGACTGGCCCACCGCTGCGGGGATTGATCCCACATATCCCAATGGAAAGGCCGAGATCTACACAACTTGTATGGATGTGGACATGGTGAACACGGTCGGCAAGCAGGCAATCAAGAGCAATTATGAGACTGACCAAGATCTCAACAATGCTGCAATCCCTTCGCAGTTCGATGCGCTCGGCAGCCCGATATCCGCTCAGCTATCCTCTCAGCCGACCAGTCAGCCGACCACATTTGTCACATCATTAGCTGTAACAGGGGTTCAACCTAAAACCGTAACAGTGACAGATTGGGAAATCAGCACAAGCACTGTATTTATGGCTGGGAGTCAACCCACATAGAATGATATTGAAAGACCGAGACATCCAAGATAGGACATTGCGACCGAAAATCCGAGTGGAATGACAACCCTTTTATTCCATTGTAAACTCATTACCCCGTTGTAACCTGAACCAATGTATTATATGCCCTATGTTCATAAATGAACGTGAAGATATTCAAGGCACTGAAGTAGAGTGACTCCATATATAGCTTTTAGCCCCAAACGGGAATAGACGAAACCAGACTTGAAACACGCTAAGGTTGGGTAGCACGTGATTGTCGATGGGTTCAAGCTTCACCCACGCCCAACTCTGTGACTTTTGAGCGGCTGCCTTGCACATTGGCTGATTCATGCTGCTTCCTTTGCTACAGTCTATCGAAACAAATCAAATTGTCTTAACCAACAGCCCCGACCCCAAAACCAACTACGCGCTGATCATTACTCCAGTTGAACCTACAACCTAGACAGGTATGGCAATCTCCGGCGTTCACCCAGTCTATCTCTCCTCAAATTTCCCATTTCCCATGTGGCCTTGACCTAATCCTGGTCACCGTCGGTCTACACACTCTTTCCTGCATAAGCGCTGTCCCTCCGTAACATTATCTGACATTGGCCCTTTCTGCAGTTTTCTTGCTATATTTAGCAATTCCCTGCCCTCAAGATCGCGGGACTAACGGCTGGAACAACGGTCTCGATTTCGCCAATCCTACGTCGAGCGGAAATTCTACTATTCAAACCTTGCAACCCCGCTGGCTTTTCCTCGTTGAGATCGCCTTCTTGTAGTGAGATCTTCCCCGTCGCGGTTCGGCGTTCCACCCGGGCCACATTTACCCCCCCCCCCCCCTCCCCTCGTGTCGTTTGCCGATTGCCTACCCATTCACCGTCCACCACATTGGAGCCCCTTGGGATAGACATCCTATTTTTGGCTTGAAAAGCTTGACATTCAAGGGCTGCCCCCTGGTTTGAATCACACGAACCTAAAATTGGGTTTGGCCCCTTACGACTTGGGCGCTTGCTGCATCGTACCTGAAATCAACATCTCCTCCATCTTCGATCCCAAGATAGACCTGCCTTATTCGAACCGAAGGAACATCCGCTCTCTGCCACTGCAAATTTCAATACCTTGGACTGCGTCAATCGCAATGCGAAACTAGATCACCAACCACGCGACTGATGAACAACCCCACATTTCCTTTTCTAAGATCCGCCCCGTTATTCCTCATTCTGAACCCAATTCTGGGTTTTTCTCCATATCAGACATGATGTCCTCTCCCACATCATCGCAGAACATTCTGTCTACAAACAATCTCTCAGTCCTGCCACCCATCCTCACCGATGGGACGGTGAAACGATCATCGACGCATCCGAAGGATCGGCTTTCCACGTATTCCAATGTCTCGCTTGCATCGCAAAATCGTTCGCGCCCAGGCTCCCACGTCTTCCCCATCTTCCACACCAGCCTTCCATATGCCCTCGTGCGAGACTTCGCTTACCCGTCCACCCATCCTCTCCATTACGGGCCTCCCCCTCCTCGTGCCTCCGGGGTTTCTACACCGGCCAGTGAAAATCGACGGCTCTCCGATCCACCACCTTCGTGGGATATCTCGCGGGGATGGTCAACAGGACAATCGAGCACAGAATCTCAGATTAGCCATGTCCACCAACAGTTGCCAGCTATGTCCTTTGGGGATGGACCACCATACAGCGAGGATGAGGATCTGCATAGCCCAGTTGTGACCTCGCGTCATCGCAAGAAGACTTCTGACATGAATGGTCTTGTAGATGAGAGAGTCATGTCTGGAACTGGTCAGGCGGTCAACAATGGTCGCGGGGTGCTCGTTGGCATTAACGCCGATGGCAGTGAGACATATTACGTAAATGATGCAAACACATCAGATGAAAGCCCAGGTGGTGAGTACGTGACATATCCGGCAAATGAGGGGCGCTATTCAATCATGGGATACAACGCCCCCAGCGGCCAGCAAGGCTACGAACATGATCCTGGCTTTGAGTCCGAAGATGAAATTCCTGGTGAAAACCGGTACTCTAGAGACTATCAGTTTGCCGTTGGCTGTCCAGATGAAGAGATGCATGGAAAAGCCGTTGCACTCTTTGACTTCACACGAGAGCATGAGAACGAACTGCCTCTTACTGAGGGCCAAGTGATTTATGTTTCATACCGGCATGGCCAGGGCTGGCTAGTTGCAGAAGATCCCAAGACAGGGGAGAATGGCCTTGTCCCAGAGGAGTTTGTGCGTCTTCTGCGAGACATCGAAGGGGGTTTGACGTCGCTGAATGGAGAACCAAACCCTGAGGTCACAGGAACCGCAGATATCAGTCTAGACCCCACTGAGTCTGACCAAATATCTACGCCTACCCAGGTAGAGCAGGCCTCATCTGACGTGAACGCCCAGGCTGGAAACAAAGCCGCCAACGGCAATACCCCAGCTGCAGCCTCGACGGAAGGCGCAGACGTATCTCAGTCTGTGTTGGATCCCGAAATCCCGGCCAGCAAAGCTCCTGAGAGCGCCGACAAACGCTGACCTAAACCTGATCCAATCGAACATCAGCCCTGGATGACTTTGTTCGTTTCAAGCAAAACCTTGGCGGTGCTCCGTGCACGAATCACCTAGAGTAATGGCTTGTCTGTTTCAAGTTGCAACCCGCCATGAAACCCTGACAGCCGATAAGCAAAGCTTGGCTCTACTCTCCTGTTGGTGACTGGGGAGATCTCAGATATGAAACATAATATATAGTTGGCTTGCTATATGAGTTGTTTCATCGATGAACACTCAATTAGTACCTCTTTGGTGGATCACCCGCTATACCCAAACCACACAATCTCCGAGACCGTTCAGGGCTCCATTTCACAAGGTCTTTTTTTTTGCCTTTCAGCCACCTTCTCAGATATAAACCCACCTCTTTCTTTCCAGCCTTATGTTCAACCCATCTCCTCGCGATGAATTATTACCCGCAAGTTCCTATTTATTAACGTATATCATCCCTCCACGATCCCAATTCATGTCTTCTTATCATACACATCGGGGAAACATAACCTGGGATTGAAGAGGATTGAGAATCCTTCTTTTACTACATACCCCGAGTCTGTCGCCATATTCTCGCCTTAAATGTTCTGTCTTCCGTCCCTCAATTCTTCTTATTACCCTCCTATTATCTTCCCTCTCCTGTATTTAGTTCTCTTCAGCGCAGCCGTTTCCAGCATCAGTGAGTATCAGCATAATGCCGATTCAAATCTATTCAAATACCACTTGTCATAAGATACATTCTACTTAGCCCAGATCAATATGTCTCTGATATAATATCGAGTCAAATGGAACGGATTTTGAAGTCCTCAAATAGACAAAAGAAACCAAGCATCAAAACCACGGAGAAACTAGTTCAGGCACCCCAGGGCTATACGAATAAGAAAGACCAGAAAGTAGAACACAATCAACATAGAAGTATGAGCAACAAAGAGGCCCTGATATACCTCAATGCCGCTGTGCTGCCGATGGATAAAGCACATCTCAATGTATAATGCTTCAACGATATGTGGAAATTTTGCTTTTCGGCACCACTAACAAAGCATCTAAATATGTGAAGATCGGGGATCCCCAGCGCTTGGGATGCATGTAGAAAATCTGGCGAGGGAAGGTAAGCTTTTACGCGAAGTGGCATGAAAGCAAAGTTTTCGCAATCTGCCCTGCTATACTGCAGACATACATAGGCAAAGAACCAACGGGAGAAGAGATCAAATGGAAATAGAATGGAGGATACAAAATCAGCTGAAGAAAGAAGAGAGAAAAAAAAGACGTAGTCAAATCAGGAATTCTGAATGCTAAAATCGTGGCCACATGTCGCAGATGTAAGAAGCGAGGATGGACTCAGGGGAGAAGAAGGGGAGTTGTAACCAGTTGCTTTAATATCTGGTCAACCAAGCAGATCATCAAAGGCCGAGCTAGATTGTTGCTTGTACTGGGGCTGGCTAGGCATGGATGCAATGCTGGAGGGAGCTGGGGCGCCCCAGATGCCGGCGCTAGCTTTTTCCTTGGCCATGCTAGCAAGGTTAGGGCCCTTTTTTGTGCCAGTATTGGACTTCTGGATCCCCGCGCTGGCGCTGGCGGTCGACCACAGCGAGCCGAAGGCGTCACCGGAGGGCTTCTTGGCTGCTGCCGAAGCTGGCTTGTTCGCTGCTGAGGGAGAAGCCACAGACATGGAGGTGGCACCGTGAGAGGACCCAGAATGTTGGGGCACGTTGACGGAGGTGAAATAGTTCGGTGTGGGAGCTTGGTACCCAGTGGGCTTCTGTTGTTGCATCGGGGCCATCTGTGAAAGGGGAGTAGAGATGCCGCTGGAAGAGGGAGTGGGGGTGGCCGATTTGAACCCAACTAGGCCATTGATGTTGGCACCCTGCGAGGCCGAGATTGGCTGAGGCGCAACGAATTGGGTGCTTGAACTTGTGCTGGCAGTGGATGCTGGAGGAGGGATGCCGAAGTGGTTTGACGGCTGGATAGGCTGGGTAGCCGGTGTTGCGGACTGGAAGTCGTCGAAATCGTCATCGTCAGCTGGGGATGGGTCTAGCATGTTGAGAGCACTGCCGGCGGGCTGTTTGCCGGTCGAGGTGGAAGCCGCGGTAGCAACAGGCTCGTCGTCACCAAAGTCGAAGAGGTCCGCTACAGGCGCAGGAGCCGGCTCGGACTTCTTTGCTTGGGGCTTCGCCCGGGCGGCAGGCTCACGCGAGCGTGCGGGGGCACCTCCTTCATCATACTCGTCATATTCTTCGAAGCGGTTAGACCGGCGTCCGGTGTCCTGGAAATCAACGCCAGCTTGCCCGCCCGATTCCCCGCCAAAGCCGCCACCATCACCGTAGACACCTCCGCTGTATCCACCGTACCCCAGACTCTCGCTGCCAAAGCCGCCATAGCGGCCCGATCCCGAGCTAGACATGCCTGATCCGACGCCCACGCCACCTTCGAAACCACTGAACTTGTTGCGGTTGTTCTTGGCCTTCTTTCTTTCAGTTCGAATCTGATCCACATCACCCAGCAATTTCACCAGCTCGGATGACCGGTTGCGCACATTGATACCCTGGTCCTTGCCATTCGCGTCGATATAGTGGAACTGCCGGAGCATCCGAATCAACGACATGTGGGATCGTGCATCATCGACAACTCGTTCGGAACCGTTTTTGATAAGGAATTCAAGGAGCTGGAGGCTCTATAATTTTGAGGAAAATAAGTTTAGCCGTGGTAAACCGCATAAATACCCGTGCGTATCTTACCTTGTAGATCTGTCGCCATTCCTCTGCGGCCTTGTCGGTGAATCGCTTGTAGATAAGGGGCATAATCTCATTGAGTAATTGACTGTAATAATGGAAGGTCAGCACATGTGACGTTGGTACGGGTAAGATCAGGCAACATGGACTGACTAGCTATGCGTTCCATTTGCGATATCCTGCATCAACGTGGTTGAGGCACCCCAGGGCTCATTGTTTGTAGCTTCCCGGACCTAACTTGTGTAAGCGTTGGATCGCATGATCTTCTAATTTTCGCCGTGCGAGAGGCCCTGTTGGTTCGCGCAAAGACGATTGTGTACGAACCTTGGATTCCATCTCGGTATAGTTCATGACAGCTATGACGGAGTGAGATTAGTTTTCGCAGATTATAAGACATATGCAAGCTGAAGTTTTTGTTCACAACACACTCGGACCAAACGGGATTTAAACTTACCATTCTGCACCTTGCGAACACCAGCCTTGAGGTCATACAAGGTGATGTTGCTGACCTGCTCTTTAAGATTGGAGAAATCCATGGCGAGGGATCACTACTAGCTGTCGGGACAAATATGGGGGACCGAGGATATGAGCGAGTAGAGTATAGCGGCACATGCAACTGTAAGCCTAGCGCGAGAAGAATCAGGGATCCCTCAGGACTGACATGGACAGTTGGAGGGGGAAGATGCCCGGTTTCCAGCTGGCAACCCGATTGAATGCGCCACGTCACGTGGCAGCCCCTGACCAAGCCTTGTATACTTCTAATGGCTACATTAAACGATTGGTCTACTGTGTAATTCTACTTTCTGCTAAGGAAGTTTTCTGGAAATTTGAAATGTTTTACAGTTGACACTGGATGGTATCACACTGTGTACATTTTATTCGTCCGTGTAGACCGAGCGCTATCGCTATCGAAAATCAACAAAATACCCATGGTATCTCACCAAACAAAGACATTAAGGAAAAAAAAAGACAGGAAAATCATAAAATCAATAATAATGTGTACCCAATTCATCCCTCATCAAGTCCATAAAATATGACTTTCACTCGTTATAGAACTTCTTCATGATCAAATGCAAGAAAAGGTTGACATTGACTCGCATCTGTCCTTCAAAGAAGTCCATGAATTGCGTGTTATTGAACTGAGCCTGCAGCAAGTCGTCCAGCGGTACCTGTGCATTGGCGCCGGGAATCATCATGACACCACTGCTCCCGTCAATGGTGAAAACACCAACTTCGTTGCTTGAGATGGTCAAGTCGACCCGATCCCACTGTCGCTCGGAGTAGCCCTTCCAGGCAACCAGGACACCTCGGTCCGCAAGATTGCGTGCCGAGTATTTGTAGGATCCAAATTTGAATATCTTGCCTGATTTTTGCAGCTCTCGCTGATGGTCCCATTGTTTGGTGAACGGCATCAGGAATCGCTTCTTTCCCTTCTTGTTCTGTAACGTGATCATGGCCTGCTCAATGTAATCGTTGTATGTCTTGAGTTGCTGGTCTAGATAGACGGCTTGGCCGCTGAGCCTCTGAGAGGTCAGCCGAGCACCCTCCAGTTCACGCTCTCGCTGAATTCTCCGACGATGCTTGGTGCGGATATCGATGGCGATGGCGTTCAACAGATCCTGATAGTGGTTGTGGCGATTGATCTTGCCATTCTGTTCAAGCCGAAGGATGTTTTCGAGTGCAATGCCCTTCAGCTCGGAGTAGCTCATAGCACTGATGTCAACTAAGCTGTTGGCTTCAGAGTAGGCGCCTCTGCGAGGGTTGTTGGTGTTCAGTTCTTCCCGAACTAAAGTATGCCACCGCTCCTCGTCCTCGGCTGTCGGTGGCTTCAGCATAATTTCCATTAGGTTGGCACCGGTTTGGACTCGGATGATGTAGAGGATGCAGCGCTTAGTCTCCATAAAGAGCGTCTTCACATCTGCTTCCGGGTCTGGGAGGGGAAGTTAGAAAAATGATCAGGTTAAGGGTTGCTAGGATCTCTTACCTTCAACATGAGCCAATTTGGGATTCAATGTGAGATTGATCTCGGTAGAGCTGACGCCCATCAATTCGTTCTCGTTACTTTTGACATTGCCAAGTTCTCGCACAAGTTCCTTGAGGAAATCATCAGGGTGGGGACACATGTAGTTAATCTCAGATGCCACAAGCTGGTGGATCGAGAAGATGTCAGACATCTTAATGTACAGGGTTGGCTTGGCCTTAGCATAGAGGTCGTTGAATTCATCAATGTCGAAATAAGCCTCTGCGTCCTGGACTGAGATCATCTGGCCCCAGATATGCCCTAGGCGCTGTATAGACTCCCCAATATAGTTGTTGAGCGGCTGAAGATAGACATTCTCTGCCCCAAAAAGTCTCCCAGATGCAATCTGAGCGAAGACCTTCGAGATTTCTCCAAGATTTCGCTTTTGTTCTTGGGTGAGGCCACGGTCGATCACACCATACTTCTCTGGCTCCAGCACAGCAGGTTGGAAGTAATTTTTCCACACCCAATGGCCAACCGCCTGGAGAATGAATCCAGAATCCTCGCCAGGAAACTTCTCAAGTAGATTTTGATACATCTGCTGTGCGAGATATCGGATACCGAATGGCATCCGGTATAGAAAGTCCTCCAAGCTCAAGAATAGTTGGTCAACAATGTCACGAAGATCTTGCAAATGCTGAATGAACGTCTCTCTGGTTTCGGGGTCTCTGATCGCTTCTTCTCTAGGAAGATCCGGCTGTCGGCGGCTTCGTTGGCCAGTTTGGAGCTCCTCGTTGTTGATTGCGGAGCGATAGATTTGAATCGGGTCACTTTCCAAATCAAGATCTGGGTTTTCAATAACAGACTCCTTTACGACAGCCCCCAAGACGTCGCGCATGAACTTCCGGTCTCGTGATGATTTGGCATATGAGGCGAAAAGCTTGTTCCAGAAGGAGGTGCAGCGCAGATATTCAGGAAGAGATGTGAAGCTTTCAATATCCTCTTTCACGGATCGTGCGAGAAGCTTAATGAGATAATACTCCTCGCGTCTTTTCTGAGAGTATCCGAAGAGGCCCATCATCAAGTGCCGGATCCGCTCATATTCCTTGTCCGAGGTGTTGACCTCGCGCAATCGCCGGAACAAGCGAGCCAGGTACTGTGATTGGGTTTGAAGAAGGAAGAAAAACACCTGATACTGGTCCAACTTCTTCCTTGATGTCTTGTTAAGGGCCTTGAGATCGTAGGGGTCCTTGGAAGATATCTCGGTGTTGGATAGCAAGTTGCCAATGTGTCCACCAAAGTGCTTTTGATGCTTGACGACTTCGTCCAATGTGATCTTGTTCTTGACAAGCAGGGCAATTTTGATATCAAGTTGACTGATGTATTGTTCAGCAAGCTCGTTTTGTCGCACTTGTTGAACAACCGCCTTTCGCAGGCGCTCGAACTCGATCTCTTCGTCAAAGTCGAAATCGCTGTCATTAAGAAGATGCACGAACCCCTTGACTGTTCCAACAGGTGGGTTCTTTCCGCTGGTCAGGCTCTTGTAAGCCTGGCCTTGAATGCGGCCTCGGATAACACTCTGAGCCTTGATGACCTTCTCCATGTTTTCATTATAATATTGACGTCGTTCCTCGAAGCGGTTGCATACAAGGTGTCCTCTAATACGTGCTTGGAAATCTGTGATAAAGTCTTCCTCTGCCTCAAGATCGGTCAAAATGTCGCCAACTTCAACACGCGAAAGCATTGCCCGGCTTAAAGATTGGAGTTCAACAATTTCCTCCTCGGTATCCTCAAGCTGGGTCAATATGTCCCCCACCTTCATTCGTGAAACGGCAGCACGGGTAAGGGCCTGCAGGTCAAGAAAGGCATGTTCGTGCTTCTCCAGTTCATCTATTTGTGCAAGAAGATACTGCCTGTGGATTAAACCGCGTGTCCGGGACTGTATTTCAAAGATGGAATGTTCTTCGCCGAGTAATGAGGTCCTCTGCACATCCAATGATTCTCTTAAAGTTTGTGCCCTGAGGATAGTCTGCAGGTCGATCACTGGCAACAGATGTTCTGCAAGCTCGGAACGAATGGCCGAGGTTTTTTTTCTTACAGCAGAGGCCCGCGCGATAGCTTGCAATGCAGCACATTCATTTTCTGTTTCTTCCAAATCGTCCAGCAGCAGAGTTTGGAGTTCTCTGGCAATCAGAGCTCTGATAGTTGATTGAATGCAGATAATTTTGGACGCTTCGTTGTTGAGCAAAACCTTCATGTGAAACAAATTTCGACGGGCAATCGATCCTCGAATGACCGCCTGCAGCGACTTGACAGGTGTTTCGATTAGTTTCACCTCATGGGAGTAAGCTTTCATCTGTTTTCGTTGCAAGGTGCCGCGGATGG